AAGGGCTCGATTGAATTACTCAATTGCAGTGAGTCAACTCCAAAAAGATCTTGACATGTTGTCTTTTCAAGTTTTGTCCATGTTTGAAACCAATCAGACTGTGATTAAAGAAGCTTTCTCAGATTCATCTCAAGGGCATGAAGATTCAGTTGATGATGATCACCGGAGTAAGAATCTTTCAGGTGGTGGTGATGTGCTTTCCGGTGACCTGAAAAAATCTTTAAGCTTGCAAGAAAATATCTACAAGAAAGTGGAAGAAGAGCTTGGTGAAATGTGCTCTACAAATTTGTACTTAGATATGTACTCAGGGGCACTTTCGGAAACATTAATGGAAGCAGTTTCTCATATTAGAAAAACAAAAGAGAAATTACAAGAACTGGGACATGAGTTGGAGGTTTCGAATGAATCGAGAGATGTTTTGTTCATGAGATTGCAAACTGCCATTGAAGATGTTCATGCTGTGAATGCACAGAATGCGTATTATCTTTCAAAGTGTAATGATTTGCAATTGCAAAATCAGATGTTGGAAACGGATTTAGGAAATGTTTCAAGGGAAAACTTTTTGCTCATGGAAAAGATTACTGAATGTGAAGCGTTGGTTATGGAGTATAGAGTTTATAAAAGCAAACATGAAGCTGTTTCTGCTGAAAAACTCGAGGTTGAAAGTCTTTTAAAAGTACAAGTTTTTGATAATCAGAAACTTCAAAAAGATTTGGCATCTGTGAAGGAAGAATTAGAAGCTTTCAGATCTCAAATTCGTAATCTTGAGAAGGAAAAAGATGTGGCAAGATCAGAAGTTGATGATGTGAAGAGGAGATTCAAGAATGGTTTGCATGAAATGGTGATGAAATTAGGCAACCCGAATGAATCTTTGGAAAAGATTCAATTCCAACTGGAATCGGTTTCAAACAAATTGAAAAACAGTTTGGAATCAGGTGAAAGACATTTGGAGAACAGTGAAGTGATTTTAAAGTACCTATTGTCTTTGGAACTTGAGGTGGAAAGAATGTCATCAGAAGATAGAAACTTTGTTGACCAAGTCAAAGGATTGGAAGCAATAGTTGAAGAATTTGAAAAGAGTAAGTTGATTCTTTCTGAGTTGAAGCAAGAAAATCAAGATTTTGTTTCGGAGATTAATAGGATGAAAGAAAGCTTGAGATTTGTGAATGATGAATTGGGGGTTGAAAAGGACATAAAAGGGAAACTAGAGGGTATTGTTTCATGTCTGACTTTAGAACTTGAAAGTCAAAGATCAGAGGTTGACCATGTTAGGAAACTTTCATCAGATCAAGAATCAGAAAAATCTAGAGTTGTTCAACTTCCTGAACAACATGAAACTCAGATGCATAAAAGCATGATATGTGAAGATCTAAAACTTACTTTTGTTAAATCTCAATATGAAAGTAAGATCGAGGAACTTGTTAAAAAGAATCTTGAAGAAGAGGCAAAGTTGAATGATTTGATCACAAGTGAAGCTCGATATATCAAAGAAAACGAAAAGTTGTTGACAACAATTGAATCTCTTAGATTGGAATCAAACAATTCAATCAAAGAATGGAAGGGTAAAGTTGGAATTCTTGAGAAAGAGGTTGAGCAATTGAAGGAACTTCAAGTGAAACTTCATGATGCAGAAGCAAGATTGAATGAACATGTTGAAGAAAATGAGTTGTTGTCAAGAACCCTTAAGTCTCTTAGATTGGAACTTAAGGCTTCTATTGCTAACAATAATGAAATTTCAGAATCAAAAAGAATGCTTGAGATGAGTCTAATGGAGGTAAATAATGAGCAATTGAAACAACTTCAAGTCAAGCTTCATGAAATGGAAGCAAGATTGAATGAAGTTGTTGAAAGTGAAGCTTGTTATATCACAGAAAACAAGAAGTTGTCAACAACTCTTGAATCTCTTCATTTGGAATTGAAGGATTCAATTGCTCACAATGCTGAAATTTCAGAAGCCAATAACAAGTATGCTCTTGAGATAGGTCAACTTAAGGGTATTCTGGTCAAATCTGAGGTGGAAATCGAACAGAATCGTGAACTTCAAGTCAAGCTTCATGATACAGAGGCAAGATTGAATGAATGTTTGGAAAAGGAAGCTTGTTACATCAAAGAGAATAACAATTTGGAAAAAGATCTTGAATCTTTTAGATTGAAATTGGAGGCTTCAATTCTTCAAAATGCAGAAATTTCAGAAGCTAATAAGGATCATGTTCTTGAGATAAGTCAACTGAAAGACAATTTGGTCAAATCTGAGGTGGAAATCGGGGAACTTCAAATGAAACTTCATGATACAGAGGCAAGATTGAACAATTGTTTGGAAAAGGAAGCTCATTATATCAAAGAAAATGAGAAATTGTCAAGAACCCTAGAATCTGTTCGATTGGAATTAGAGGCTTCCATTGCTCAAAATGCTAAAATTTCAGAAGCCAATACGGATCATGCTCTTGAGATAGGTCAACTGAAAGACATGTTGGTCAAATCTGAGTCAGAGATTGGACAGATTCATGAACTTCAAATGAAACTTCAAGATACTGAAGCAAGATTCAGCAATAGTATGGAAAATGAAGCTCATTACATTAAAGAGACAAAAAATCTAGCAACTAAACTTGAATCTTGTAGATTAGAGTTGCAGGAATCTATTGCTCACAATGAAGAAATTTCAAAATCAAATAACATAAAGGTGAAAATGCTCGAGGCTAGTTTGATAGAAGTGAAGCATGAGCTTGAAACAGAGCTTCTTGATGCAAAAGAAAGATTGGATCAAATTGTTGAAAGTGAGGCTTTTTATGTTGAAGAAAATGAATCCCTCAGATCAGAGTTAGATGCTATCAAGAAAAAGATTACATTTTTGGAAAATAAGAAGGTGGTGGAGTCTACAGATGATGTGTTCTTTATGAGAGAAGAATCTGAGATTGTGTTAATGGTTTTGAAAGCAAAGTTGGATGAACAGAATGATGAATTGATAATGATTCAGGATAAATGTAATGAACTTACACACAAGCTTTCTGAACAGATTCTGAAAACAGAAGAATTCAAGAATTTGTCTGTATATTTAAAGGAGATGAAAGAAAAAAGTGAGAAAAAAGAACCTGAAGGTCCCACAGAATCATTAAGAATGGCATTTATAAAAGAACAACATCAAGCAAAACTTCAAGAATTAAAGCAACAGCTTTCTGTTTCAAAAAGACATGGTGAAGAAATGCTGTTTAAATTACAAGATGCCCTTGATGAAATTGAAAGCAGGAAAAAGTCTGAAGCTTTACAGTTGAAAAGAATCCAAGAATTGGAAGCTGAGGTCGAATCGGTAATTTCTGATAAACCTGATCATGATCGGATTCAAGCTGAACTTGAATGTGCTATCTTGAGCCTTGAATGTTGCAAAGAAGAAAAAGAAAAGCTTGTTGCTTTATTACAAGAAAGTGAAGAGGAAAAGTCTAGAATTTCAGTTGAAGTTTCTTTGATGAAAGAGCAGATTGCCCAAAAAGACGAAAATGGTCATACGTGTGTAAATGGTGAATCCAAACAGGTAAAAAAAGTTAATAAAAAAAACTTTATTTTGTTAAATTCAGTTTTATTTATTGAATATTAATCCAGCAGAGAAGCATTCATGGTGAAGATGAAGATGAAGATGAAGAGAATTCATTGTCAAATGATTCAAAGCAATTAATGGTTGTTAATGATCAATTCAGAGCTCAACATTTAAAATCTTGCATGGAACAACTAGATGAAGAGGTATAATATTTTATTAAACTCTTGATCATTAATTCATCATAATAACTTTTCTCACATTTTGTCTACAAAATTTTCAGTTGGAAAAAATGAAGAACGATAATTCGATTCTTCCATTGACTAATTATGATCCGGGATTTCAAGATTTACAAAAGGAACTTTCACAACTACAAAAGGTATGCATTTTTGATTTTTCCATTAAAATGTACCAAAAAAAAAAAAAGAAATCTTTTTTCTTTTCTTATGATTATTTTATTATTTAAAGGCCAATGAAGAGTTAGGAAGCATATACCCTAATTTTATCAGTTTCCCGGGAAACGGGAATGCATTACAACGGGTGCTTGCTTTAGAAATCGAGCTTGCAGAAGCACTTAGAACAAAGAAGAAATCAAACATCCAATTCCAAAGGTAAAAGTCAAAGTCAAAAAGTCAAAGTTTTGACTAAAAACTAACATGGGTTTTGTGTAATGTTGTGTGGCAGTTCTTTCCTTAAACAACATAGTGATGAGGAGGCAGTGTTGAAGAGTTTTCGGGATATAAATGAATTGATTAAAGATATGTTGGAGATTAAAGGGAAGTATGTGAATGTTGAAAGTGAATTGAAGGAAATGCATGAAAGATATTCAGAGTTAAGTTTGCAGCTTGCTGAGGTGGAAGGAGAGAGACAGAAGCTGATGATGACACTCAAGAATGTCAGATCTTCAAGAAATTTGCTTCGAACCAATCGTTCATCAATGGCTGTGAATGTTATTGAAGATCGAAAAATTAGTGAAAATGATGCACTTTTGTGAAATTGTGAATAACAATCAATCAATCTTGGAGTTCTTGATTATGGTCATGGTGTAAATAATATATAATTTTCAATGGTTGTTGATGGGTTTTATTTATAACGTTCAGAATATGCCCTTTTTTGATTGTAATCTCCATGTTGTAATTCATAGTTTTTATATGTACAGTAAAGTTTATTCTTTTATTATGTAATGTTTTTTTTTTTTCTCTAATGCAATTAGGTTTTGTTTGTTACATTGGAGGAATATATGATGCAAAACATTGTCGACATCTATTTTTGGTTATGGAAATTTTACAAATTACATTATTAAACAATCATCACCAATTAAAATACAATATTTCAAGTACCAATTATTATATTTGATTAGAAATATATCAACTCAAACTTGAAAAACCGTTTGGGAAAGTTTAACACCAAAAAGTTTAAATGAAGATTATAACATCATAATGTGCAATAATCGGTGTTTGATTAGAGCAAAATGGTGCAAAAAAGATGTAAAAGATAGGATTTAATGTTGGACCCTTTTCGATTGACACAATCATTCAAGAATTATTGGAAAACTGAGGCATCCATGAAAGCCATAGGCTTTTAATTTCATAAGATATGACAACAATTTCTTTTAACATTCTTCTAATTGATCTAAAATGTTTCTCTCTCTCTCTCTCTCTATATATATGTAACATAGAAAACCACATCTGCTTTCATCTTGAATCTTGAACTTGATCAAATTACCACCTTGATCACAGGATTGTGCATGAACAACTGTTCTTTTCAGGGGCATTTTGCGACTTTTCTGTTACAAAATCACAAAGAACGTTTCAGAAATCTTGATCAATAACCAATTAAACTACAAGTTTGATATAAAATCTTTTAACTTTCAAGAGAATGGTAACTTCAAAAGTTTAGAATTTGAATCCTGTTCAACTCCCACTGCACACAGGAGGTTATCAATGGCGTTAACAAATGAAATGACATAATTGCCCTTTGATATTAAGATCAAATTACCGGTGTTTTTGTCTGACAATGGAGGACGAACAACAACATGCATAGTGATGACACCTCCGGGAACTTCGCCTACAGGAGATCGAGATTCAGCAAGCGTTTTGTTGTTCTCCAGAATCTTTCCTGCGTTTATGAGCTTCATATCGTTTACTGTTTTCGGCCCATTTCCTATTTCTGTCGAAGTTTTAAAAAGATAGTAAACGATCGAAGAATGTGAAACAGTTAAAGAGAGAATCAAATTACGCAATCAACTCAGAAATCCCCATAGAACAACCCGTCAATTTCACAAGATCTTGAAAGCAAGTAAAGTAATAGAGATGATGAAGGGAAATTACCTTTAGGCCATTGTGAAATGATTTTCTCTTTGAGATATGCGACAGTGGTTGTGGAATTGTATTTGCTTGGTGGAATATCACTGCCATCAGGTAACCTGAACTTGACTTCAATCAGTTCTTCAGCAGCCATTAAAACTTTACTTTAAAGTTTTCAAGAAAATTTGAAAAAGATGAAGCTTTTTCAAAGGGTATTGTGTGAACCCTAATATATCAAGACAACAACCCAGATTGAATCTGACAAGATTTCCACTAAAAACCAATCATTTTGTCAAAGGGTTTTTGTCAGTTCAACAGATTTGACTCAAGAACGACAAAGAAAGAGAAAATTAAGCAATCGAATTTCAAGAAAATATAGAAAAGATGAAACTTTAAGAAGGGTAAAGCATAAACCCTACTAAATCACAAGGTTTTGTGCTAAAAATCAATCATTTGGATTCCATTTTGTGTCAGTTTGAGTAGCTTTAACCTGCGAAAACAGTGAAAGGGCAAAAGATAAGGAATCAAACAAGAACAAAGGTTTGGAATTGGGAATATGAGATAGAGAGAGAAAGATGTGATTAAAGGGAATGAGATAGAGAGAATAAGAAGGTTTCTTGCTGTAGAAAGAAAGTGAATAAAGTAAGAAAAATAATCCAACCTCTCTCCTTCTTACAGAAGGAAAAAAAACTGTGATTTAAATTGTACTTTTCAATGGAAATTGACCAAGAAATTAGTGTCCGATGTCATCATCGATCTTGCAATTGACACTTTAACTCAATTTGCAAAAGTGTTAAGCTAAAATACACCCATTTTATCATAATAAGACCCTTAATATGGAAATTGAGAAACCAAACCGCAATTTGAGTTAATAGATTGCTTGGTTGTTTTTTCTTACATATGTCGTGGTATAAATGATGATGCAAGACTTCATAATGTCAACTAAAAATGGAAGTACCATGACATCACCATCAAATTTTAGTTCTAAAATATTCAATAACCTTGAATGTAATTCGTACATGTAAAATAGGCCGATTAAGAAAGCTTATCGCTACATCATTACGTTTGATGTTTTTCAGTCATTCGGGATCGTTTAGGGTCTCAAAATGCGTTTTTTTTTTGTTTTTTTTATTTGCAATAACTTTTTATTTTGAGTTTTGATTTAAATAATTGATTGGAGATTTTTTCCTAATCAGTTATAATCTCTTAGGGTTAAGAACTTATTCTCATCTTATCCTCCTTAAAAGGATCTCGTTTTTCATTATTTTGGTGATGTTTTTGTTCGATTAATAATTAATAAAGAATTTAGCTTTGGAATTATCTTTGATTTTTGTGTTCATGTAATTTGTAATTTGCCATTCAATCCGACCGTCTGGGCATCATGTGGTATCCGAGCAAACAAACGAATGGCTGAACAGATGATTTGTGGTTGTGGAGGAGCTCATGGTTATCGCAGTGGCGGACGCATTCCATGGAATGACGAAGCTGATTTACGAGATCCACATGACATAGAGATTGAATGCTTGCAACGACAGATCCAAGAACTCGAGTTGTTGCATTACGACCCACCAGACGTAGAGACTGAATCATATTCGAGCGTCTAAGGCAACAGTTAAGAGGTGGTCAATCTTTTTGCCGGGCCAAAACGAGATCGTCGCGGAGGAAGATATTGTGATGATCCATTGAGGAATATTGGTGTGAAGGTTGAGATTCCCAAGTTCATGGGACATGCTCATCCTGATGAGTTCATTGAATGGTTAAGCACCATTGAGCGGGTGTTTGATATGCGAGGCATATCAGAACCGTTGAAGGTAAAATTGGTGGCTATCTGATTGAGGAAACACACCTCTCTTTGGTGGGATCACGTGAAGAAACAATGAAAACTTGCAGGAAAAGAAAATGTCGCCACATAGGAAAAGATGAAGAAGTTAATGAAGAACAACTTTTTTCCTCAAACTCACCGACAAGAAGCTTTCTTAGAGTACCATAATCTGTACCAGAAAACCATGTCGGTACAGGAAGTCATCCATGAGTTTGATCGGCTTTGGATGCGGTTTAACGTAGTAGAAGAAGAAGAACAAGTTATTGCTCGATTTTTAGGGGTGTTGAAACCTGAGATCTCGGATGTGGTGAGTCTCCAACCTTGTTGGACATATTCATATATGTGCCAACATGCCTTAAAAGTGGAGAAACAAATTAAGAGTAAGGCTCGCACAACGATTAGTCAATTCGTCCTTGTAAATAAGACCACAACCCCTACTGGCCCTAAGGTTGTTCAAGTCCGAAAAGCCGCTGCCTCTATGCCTAATGTCCCAGTCTCCCAGGTAGTACCAATAACCAACCCCATGATGTCACAAATGTCAAGACATGCCATATTGCTCACGACTGTCTGAACCATCAGTTGGTGACTTTAACTGAAGGCAGCCAGTTCCAAAATACGATATTGAAGGGGATGAGCTTGCCTACGAGGAATCCAAAGTAATTGAACCTAATCATGGAGAATAGTTGGTGATCCAACAAGTTTCGAATGTTGCTGTTTCCCAGTCCATTGATGATGATTTGTGGTCAAGGAACAATATCTTTCACACCAAGTGTATTGCCAAAGCAATGTGTGTAGCATGATCATTGATAGTGGAAGTTGTGAGAATATGGTTTCAACCCACATGGTGTAGAAACTCGGGATGAAGGAGGAAGATCACCTAGAACCCTACCAATTTACTTAGCTAAAAAAGGCAATGTTGTTAAGGTTAGTAAGTGTTTTTAGTGCATTTTTCCATTGGTAAAAGATATTCAGATGATGTGTGTTGTGAAGTCATTCTTACGGATTCGTAACACATTATGTTAGGGAGACCATGAAAGTTTGACAGGCATACAAAACATGATGGGTTTCAAGATACCTATTGTAACGCCCTGTTTCGAATCGTTTCCCATTGCTGGGTGGTGTTCAAGGAGTGGGTATTAGCAGACTTAGAGCCCTTGAAGAATTGAGTTTGGCTCATTTGGAGGTGGATGATATAGTTTTGATTATCCTGGTATTCGGTTTGTGTTTTGGAGCCCAATGGTATCGGTAAAGGTGTTGGTTCAGGCCTTTTATGAATTTGGATTTAATATTGGTTAGTTTTTAGACTAAATAAAGTTTATATATGTTTCGGGCTTCTTGTTACCCTTTTGTGGATATAAAGAATGTCGAAAACAGATAAGGGATGCAAAAGTTATGATCATCTAAAGTTAGAGGGGTGTTGGGCCAAAATGGGTACGCATGACGTATAAGGGAGGTACACATGACGTACACGGGAATTTGGACATGGGTGTATTTAGGAACACCATGCGTTCCCCAAGGGAATGCTCTGCATTCATCAGGCGAGATTAAAACCCTAATTTAGGGTCTTGGACCCAATTTAAAGACCTTAACTCACCTCCAACCCTCATTTCCTTCAACCTCCATCCTCTCTAACCCTAAGAACGAAACCCTAGCCTCCATTTCAGTAATTGTAGCACCTGGTTCCTAGTATGTATTTCATTATAGTACTTTGCATTTTGGCCTTGGACTTGGCGAGTTGAGGTCCAACTCGTCGAGTCGGAGCGTATTGGACGCAAAAGTTTAATGACCTACTCGACGAGTCCGCGTCCGGACTCGGCGAGTAGGCGTTGTCCGGACAAAACCCTAGATGAGGGTTTGCACCCTATTTAAACCAATTATTTAGCCTCCCTTTTGTCCCCAATGCTTCCAGAACTCCCTATAGCAAACCCTAGCCGTTTTTTAGAAGAACTAAGGCATTTTTGGTGGATCTTGCTAGTTGTGACCATAAGGAGGAAGGTGAACGACTTGAGGAAACAAGTGGAGACTAGGGGAACCCAAGTTTGTGCATCTTCCACTGTTCATTGGAGGTATAAAGCTGTTACCTTGCTCTTTCATTTGATAGATCCCCTTTTGGGGAGATTTAGGGCTTTTATAAGCCATTTTTGGTGACCAACCATGATTGCAAACATGGTAGGGGGTTGAGGCTTCAGAATCAGGTCATTAAGGGAGTCACAAGGCAATTGGGGGCTGCTTTTGCACCCATGTAAGGTCCCATGCATCATAAGAGCTTATTTTATGTCCTTTTGAGCTCAAAGTCCCATGTATGCACGTAAAGTTTGTAACTTTATGTGCTAGAAAGATTGAAGGAGCTTAGATCTATCTTTTAGTCAAGAGTTGTACGCTGGAAATTGAGAAATGAGACTTGGACATCCTTGACTCGACGAGTTGTTATTGGGACTCGGCGAGTCCGAGGCAAAACTCCCCTTTGCTGTTAGGGTTTGAAGGAACCCAGTTGAGCGTTAGAAGGGTTTTTAGAGGGTCCAAGGGAGTGACCCAATGTATTGGACTTAGCGTTAAACCTGGAGTTCATGGGACTCGACGAGTGAAAGAACAGACTCGGCGAGTCCAAGGCAATCTCCTTATAGTTTAAGATGAACTCAATGAGTTGTTCATACAACTCGGCGAGTCAAGGACATGACTTGTTTATCAGATGAAGGTAAACTTGATGAGTTGTTCATACAACTCGGCGAGTCGGATGAAGGTTCATTAGATGTTCATATAAAAGGGGAACTTGTCGAGTCGTTGCTAAACTTGACGAGTAGAGTCGTGTATAAGGACCGATAATGAGTTAGGGACTCGACGAGTTGGCAGCCCAACTCGGTAAGTCGGGTCAACTGGAAGTTGACTTTGACTTGGACTTGGTTAGGGGTAAAATAGTATTTTTACCCTAAGAGTAGATATCAGGTTCTAACTGAGTGTTTTGTGGGATTATAGCCGGAGGGTTACCGGAACAGCAGTCAGACCGTTGCCGAGCAGTTTTCCAGCAGTCAGCCTTACGAGGTGAGTTACCTTCCAGTAATGGTGGGTCTACGGCCACAATGCCGGCCCACTAATAGGAGTTGTATGTGAGATGATTGTCTTTGTGATATTCATCTAGGCTTGCTGCTACTGTTATGTTTTATGTGCTAGCATATTGTGATATTATGTGATAGTAGTAGGGGGTGAAATAGTCCCCGACTATCGGTCGATAGGACCAAAGGGGTAGTTTAGTACCCAACCATGCTAGCTAGATTATGATATATGTGATATGATATTATGTGGTAGTAGTAGGGGTGAAATAGTCCTCGGTTACC